TTGGACTCGAATGGAGCTTTGCGACTTTCTAATCGTCCTCTCACTCTTCGACTCCATCAATTAGAAAATGGGGGGATTCCGACCAACATCAGTCGAAGTTTGACCTATTCGGCAGCGGACGGATACTATCTTGATCTTCTGTCTTGTCATGATAGTCGCATACGGAACCAGCCAAACTCCATTAGCGATGCGGATGATGGCCGAGCTCAGATGGCAAGGTTGACGATGATGAAAGCACTCCTGCCTTATTTCTCTAATAGAGAATATCGAGAAGGACCTTTTCTTTACAGGTTCACAGATCTCCATCCTAGTAATATCTTCGTTAACAGCCAATGGAACGTCAAGTTCGTGATTGATCTCGAATGGGCCTGTTCACTACCAGCGGAAACTTTCCGTCCTCCATACTGGTTGACTGGTCGCTCAGTCGATGACCTAATAGGAGAGCACCTCGAAGACTTCAGGGAGGCGTACGAAGAGTTCATGGATATTTTTGAGGAGGAAGAAAAACTCTTTCCTCCTATCAACAATACCTATTCTTACAGGACCACTCTTATGAGAAATGGTTGGCAAGTCGGAAACTTTTGGTATTTTCATGCCTTGGACAGCCCGAAAGGCCTATTTAACCTCTTCCGTCAACATATTTATCCCATTTTCGCACCTTCACGTCAGGTTGTTTCCGATTTTTCGCGGGTTATATCGGACTTCTGGGCTCCCGATGTTGAAGAAATCATACTTGCCAAGCTCCGAGATAAAGGGGAGTATGACAAGTCGCTTTGTCAATTGTTTGATGATGCTTCAGACTGTGCTCGAGACGGAGATTCGGAGCATTGAAAAACACTTTGAATGGTTTCATCTCGACAAAGATCATATATCAGGGATGCAAAACTCGGAGGCAGAGAATTAATCACCGAAATTCGCCTCCTGCGTTGCTCGACACGACTCGTCGGACCCCTCGAGTAATCTAACCTTCTCTCGTTCGCTCGGCCCAGCTTTCGCTTTGCCCCCTCCACTACGAACTCTATGAGGCAATTTTGCCTTCAGTCCGCTGCGCCGACCTACGACCTGCCGCCTCACATGCCTATTCGCTGGTCGATGATTTGGTCCATTGAAAAATTCTGATGTGAAAACCCCAGGGCGGAGGATCACAACAGTTTCCACGGTCGCCGTCGCTGGCCACGGCTGCCTCCCTGATCATCATAACAAAGACAGTCGCTGCCTAATCAGACAAGCGACCATGTGCCACCTGAAAATGCGTCTCAACACGTTGACTGAGTTCAACCGTTGGAAACATGGGACAATTTAAACCCGCGTTATATTGCAGGCACACGATAAGCGCAGAATCGGGGTTCAACGTCGAACATAAACTTCACGAGACGCGCCTTTTGCGATAGAGATATGGTTTCTTTTATGCTGTCGGTGATCTTTTGACAGGGCTCGATGATGATCATTTTCAATCATCAACCAGTCATCTCAGCCCAAGGAGCCGTAGAAAAGGGCCTTCCCATCTTGCTCACCAGCATTAATGACCACTGCATCAACATCGTAAGCCGCTTTCGACCGCCCAAACAAAGCTCTAGGTCAGCGTTGTTCAGACAGCCTATGGAAAATAAGATATAAACCTGCTGATGTCCAGTATTGTCTCGCCTAAAAGCATGTCCCGCCCTGCGTCAAAGTTTGCCGAATGGCTTGCCAGGGCTCCCGTCCAAGACAAGTTTGGTCTTTGCGGGCTCCTCGCTCTTGTATGCTGGATATCTTATAGCCTCGCACGCCGATTCAGCTATTTGCCTTTGAGGTTGCAACGCGCAGTATCTTGGAGACGCTTCTTCCAGGCGCCAACACCAGGCATGCTCCAGTGGCTGGATATCCCATCATACTTGCAAGGGGGAGTACTTGCAGCCCTGGTGATTGCCAACATTATTGCAATCAGTCTTCATGCTCAGACCTGGGCAGATGTGCAGAAGCGAGCGGGATGCTTGGCGGTAACACACCTTGTTCCCCTCTGCTCTGGGTTTAGCTTCAGTCTTCCGGCTCATGTCTTCCGTATCGAACGGGGCACGCTCCAGTGGGCCCATCGGTGGCTAGGCCGCATTTGCGTGCTGCATTGCCTTCTTCATGGGTCCGTACTAGGCACAGTTGCTCGAAATACAAGCCTTGGAGCTTCCCTCGTCATCCCACTCCTGGTACGCGACGGCTAGAGAACGGCAGCCTTCCCATTTCCCCAAAGGATGTCGGACTAGAAGTGGCTAATATTGAACAGGCCGGATGCAGTTTCGTCTCGATCTTTCCTTGGACGCTCGCTGCGATTCTTCGGCGGTGGCCGCAACTCGGCCTCAAGGTCCACCATGTGCTTGCTTTGGTCGCCACCGGTACCCTTTTCTATCATTTGATCGACCGGGTATCGTCCTACCGCTGGGTTTTACTAGGCGGTATTTGCGCCGGATTTGCTTGGAGTGCCGGGACATGTCTGCATACCATGTGGCTCCACAGATCGTGGCGCATCACCTCTCGACGGGCCCTCGCGCGGTCTTCCAACAGGCTCTTATGGCTTGATATTGCGGTACCGGCGGAGTGCGTGGCTCAACCGGGGCAGTATGTACAGCTCTGGATGCCACGCCTTGGATTAAGGTCCTGCTTGCAGCTTCCCGCATTCTACGTGGCTTCGGTAGGTACAGGGCAAAGCAACCTAGGAGCATCGACAACTCATGTGTTACGCATAGTGGCCCGGCCTGGACCGGGCGTGACCGGAAGGATCGTACAAGCTGCGGATCGTGCGCACTCGACGATTCATTTTCCGGTGTGCGTGCTGGGTCCCTACGGGCACCCACCTCACCTGGGCCAGTATGGGACCGTCGTCTTCATACTTGAAGACATTGGACTCTTCCGCGCGTTGCCGTTCATACGACATCTCGTCCAAGAAAGCCGAAGCCGGAGGAACACGGTGCGACGGCTAGAGGTCCTGTGGCAAGTTAGGCTGAAAAATTTCAGTAGGTGTCCTTCCTCTTCTCAGATGCTTTGCGGTGTCATGCGCTTACCGAAACAGACCATCCCCGCTGGGTGGGTGAGGAAATCTCGCAAATCCTTGAACTCGACCGTATGCTTGACCGAGACGATTGTCCCGAGCATAGACACCGAGATGACCGGGGATTCGATGTGAGTGAATTCTCCTCTCGCTATAAATTTTACAATAGGTCGGGGCTTAACTCGGTGGCAGATATTGCAATTCACCACACATATCCTAGGTACTCAGCCCGTGGACCAGATTCGTTACCGCAAGCGCAACTGTACGCGCTTGAAATACCACTTTCATACCATCGATATCGCCAAGGAGTTAGCACGCCTGATGGATGGTACAGGCGGAACGACCGCGGTTTCGGGTATGAGCGCTCCGTCGGTTGCCCCTTGGATTATGCCAACGCTAACTGGTCTTAGTATGCGCAAGCAACCCGTT